ACTAGTGAGTTTTGAGAATTCTTTATATAGTCTAGATACAAGTCCTTTTTCAGATACTATGTGTTTTGCACATATTTTCTCTCAGGCTGTGGCTTGTTTTTTCATTCTCTTTCCAGTGTCTTTCACAGAGAAGTTTTAATCTTGATAACGTTTCTTTTTTAATCTTTTTCTCTTATGGCTCATGTGCCTAACCCGAAGTCACAAAAATTTCAGTTATTGTTTCTTCTAGAATGTTTATAGTTAATTTCTGACTCTCTATTCCATTTCACCAATCCACGAATCTGTCCTTTAACCAATACCATACTATCTTTTTTTTTTTTAATCCTCACCCAAGGATATGCTTAGAGAGAAGAAAGGAGAGTGAAAGAGAGAGAAACATTGATGTGGGATATTTGTTGCCTTCCTTACGTGCCCCGACTGAGGATCAAACCCACAGCTCAGGCATGTGCCCTGACTGGGAATCAAACCAACAACCTTTTGGTGCACAGGATGATGCTCTTTCAACTGAGCCACTCCAATGGGATCAATACCATACCATCTTGATTACTATAATGTCTTGAAATCAAGTAGTCTGAATCCTCCCACATTTTTTTCAAAATTATTTTGGTTAGTCTAGGTACTTTGCATTTCTGTGTACATTTTGAATAAGCTTACCAGTTTCTACAAAAAATATATATATATTGCTGTGATTTTGACTGAGATTTCATCAAATATATAGAGTAATTTGGGAAGAATTGACATATTAATAACGTGAGTCTTCCAATCCATGAACATGGTGTATCTCTCCATCTATCTAGGGGTTTTTGGTGTTTGTTTGTTTGTTTGTTTGTTATTTCTTTCATTATTGTTTTTTTAGTTTTAAGCACATAGATGATGCACAAATTTTTATCTGTATATCTAAGTATGTTATGCTTTCTTGGTGCTATTGTAAATGACACTGCCTTATTAATTTTAATTTCCAACTGTAGGATTGCTAGTTTGTAGTCTGTAACCTTGCTAAACTCACATATTAGTTCTAGGAGCATTTGTGTAGAGAGTCTTTGTGGTCTTTCATATAGAAAATCACATCATATATGAATAAAGTCAGTTTCATTTCCTCCTTCAAATCTGTATGTTTTTCTTTCTTTTTCTTGCATCATTGCACTGTTTAAGAATTCTAGCCCTGGCCGGTTTGGCTCAGCGGTTAGAGCGTCGGCCTGCGGTCCGGAGAGACCCGGGTTCGATTCCCGCTAGGGGCATGTACTTCGGTTGCAGTTTGTCCCTGGCCCTGGTTGGTCATGCGGGTGGCAGCCACTCGATGTGTCCCTTTCATGTCGACGTTTCTCTCTCTCTCCCTCTCTCTCTCTCTCTCTCTCTCTCTCTCTCTCTCTCTTCCTCTCTCCTTCCCACTCTATCTGTACAAGAAATGGAAAAATGTCCTCGGGTGAGGATAAAAAAAAAAGAATTCTAGTATGATATTGAATAGGAGTAATAAAAGCAGGTGTCCTTACCTGTTCCAGATCTTAAGGGAAGAGCATTAAGGCTGTTGGAACCAGAAATGTTGATTTCGAATGAGGTCCCCAGGTGATTTTAATGCATCACTTCTACTGCCAGAGTATTAACAGCTCTTGTATTAATAGTTCCTTGGAAGTTTTTTATCCATCCCCTAACTGGAGTGGAAGCTCCCTGCGGGATGCAGTGTCTTGTGAGTGTTTGTACCCTCAAAATAGCCAAGGGCAGTACCTTGCCACAGTTGTCCAACAAACAATAATGAATAAAATGAAATGAGATGAGGGGCACCTCTCTACTTGCTAGATGGGATGCTGCCCGATTCACGAATCATTTAATAAAGCCAGTTAGGTCTTCAAATTTAAAAATATAATAAATAAATACATAAAATGAAGTGAAATAGGATGAAAACAACACAGAGCTTCAGGTGCTCACACCCATCCACACTGTGTCTCTAAGCGTCTCTCCTGACTCTGTGTCCCAAATCCCCCATTAGTCTGAGAGGCTGAGTGAATGAGCCCACCCAGCAGCACAGACAAGGTTTTTTTCATCAGAACCTTGGGGGCAAACACAGAGACAATCTTATTCCATCTTCTTTAACTGATGCAGAAATCAGCCTTGGGAGAAGAAATGGTTTGTGTAATGTCACACAGTAATTCCTCCCAAGATGAAGATCAGCATTTAAGTCTCCCAACTCCCAGTGCAAGGCCTTCCCCACTTCACAGTAAGTAGAGGAGGCTGGAGTGCTCCATTGAACAGGGCTTCCTGGAGGAGGTGAGCTGTCCAAAGACTCTCATTTAAGTAGACAGGAAAGAATGAGCTTGGTGAAGGTGTGGGAAGAGACTCATTTGAATTCATACTAGGACTCCCAGGAAGAAAAAGAAAGGGAACCATAAGAAGGAGTGTGTCCCAAATATTCTGCAACATCATTAGAATATAAATATTTAGCCCAGTTTTCTATGGAAATAGAGCTCGTAAAACCCTTCTACTTACATCCACCTACTTTTTGAAGCCCAGGACCTGACAACTCAATTATCAGCTTTGGAGGAAAATGGGCAGAGGCCCTGGAGGGAGGAGCATGACCCAGATTCTGGACTAGTCTCCTGGACCTCTTAGGAAGAAAAGGAGAATCTCTGCCTTGAACTGGCCCCTCACCCCATTACCTGCTTACAGTCAGATTTTTTTTCCGGCCTCAGGGCTGTATCCCTGAGTTAATCTACAAGGCTAATTTTGCTAGGAGTCCAATATGAAAGTAACATGTGAAAAGAAGGGTTGTGTTCTAGGTGGGGTAGGAGTGAGGAGCTATGAGCCACAGGAGACTCACACCACTGATGTCTCAGGAATTCAGGTAGTTGGGAATAAAATCTGCTGCCTTACCTGCCTCACCGTTTTTTCCCCTCTGAAACCTATCAAAGGACTCACCAATCCTGAAGCCTTCAACTAGCGCATGAATCAAGGGTGGAGGCTTGGCTCTGTGCCCACCTGGGGTCTTACCTGTTTTCTGACCTAAATCAGAGGTTTACATTTCATTGACTGCTAAAGCTTTCTTCCAGCCCTAAGTGTCTGGGACCCCAGTTCCTGTTTAAGGTCATGTTTGTGTTCTCATGGTATATACACCCTGAAATAGCCAGGCCCCTCTCACTTCTTCCCAGTCTATGCCCTCACCTCCCAGGCCTCTACCACCTGACCAAGGGGCCTTCTCTGAGCACCAGATCACTCTAGAAGAGTCAGCATCATGTACTGTCACCTTGTCACCTGCAGCCCCAGAGCTCTTCCTCCCAGCATCCTCACACCTGGGGCCAGCTGGTCTGGGGACCCGTGAAGCCACCTATTATTTATTAATGCCTCCCCTGCATTTCTCAAAACCATCTCTACAACCTCTAGGAACAGGAAGAGGCTCTGAGACTCAACAAAGCCTCACCAAGTCTTGAAGCTAAAGTAAAATGAAAGAGAAAGACTCCCTCAGAGCTTTTTTCTGAGTTGTGTTAAGCCACGTCTGCTGCCTCTGACTCAACCTAAGCTCCGACTTCCACTTGTGCAACTCTGGCCAGTGTGATACCAACCCCAAGAGCCCCTCCCACGGCCCAGCCATCCCCGAACTCCCAGGAGGTCCTGGTCAGGTGACAAGGCCTTTGGGGGAAAGGGGCTGAGATCATCTTCACACTAACAGAAGGCCGCCCTGCTTGGGACGTCCAGGGATGCAGGCTCCCGAGCGCTGCTGGATGGGAGGAGAAAAGAAGGGTCCATTACATGCTGACGGTGTTGGGGGACTTCTCTGATGGGGGGAAACGTTCTGTGGGAATAGCAGTCTTCTATGTTGGAGGCCACTTTATAGTCCCTGAGACTACCCCAGATATTCTCCTTCAGGCTTATGAGAACCCCCATGGGGACATAGGACTGCAGGGACATAGAGAGCCTGGGACCTAGGTGCAGACGAGGGATTTCTGCCCTGGAAACTCAGAGCTGCCAAGAGCCTGGATGGGAGTTCAGGGGACTCAGCCAGTTTGCCCCGAAGAGAAGGGGCCTCAGAGCTTTTGTCAGAAAGGGCGGGAGTGGGGTGCAGGCTGTGGGTAATGCTTAAGAGTGGCTTTTTCTGGCCTGGTCCACATGGCTCAGTGGATTGAGTGTCGTCCCATGGACTGAGAGGTCCCGGTTCGATTCCTGGTCAGGACACATGCCCGGGTTGTGGGCTCAATCCCCGGTGGCGGACATGCGGGAAGTAGCCAATTGATGTTTCTCTCTCACATTGATGTTTGTATTTCTCTCCCCCCCCCCCCCTCTAAGAAAGTCAATAAAAACATATTAAAACTTTAAAAAGTGTGGCTTTTTTTTTGGAAAAGAGAATTTTCCACAAATCCCCCTGTCAATTTCCTGGCAATATTACAGTCCCCGTGTCTGGCACATACTTTTTGAGAACATCACCCTCATCCTCTGACTCCAGGGCTGGCCCCTCTTCCTCACCGTTCTTTTTATTTTTTTTTATTTTTTTTTTTATTTTTTTTTTTTATTATCCTCACCCGAGGATATTTTTCCATTATTTGTACAGATAGAGTGGGAGGGAGAGAGAGGAAGGAAGAGAGAGAGAGAAACATAGATGTGAAGGGACACATCGAGTGGCTGCCACCCGCACGACCAACCAGGGCTGGGGACAAACTGCAACCGAAGTACGTGCCCTTAGCGGGAACCGAACCCGGGTCTCTCCGGACCGCAGGCCGACGCTTTAACCGCTGAGCCAAACTGGCCAGGGCTTCCTCACCGTTCTTAAAGACTTCTAGAAGAAAACATCCCTTGGCCTCTCCTAGCCGCACTGCCTCAGGGCAACACGTTCCTGCTCCAGGAAGCCTCTCTTGCACCCTTTCCAAAGCTCTCCACTTCCGGGTGTAAGTTACACAGCAATGAGTAACAGCTCCTGGCTACCCACGTCTGCCAAAGCTTGACATGAAACACACATCACGTGCTCTGAGTTGCAAATGAAGTTTATTGTGCAGACACCAAGACCACAGCACGTTAGATGCAGGAGCCAGCAAAACAGGCTATGTACACAGAAACAGGTTTCCTGGGGGCACTGCCAGGGGAGAGGCGCGGGCTTTGAAATGGGTCCTCGACAGGATGCTTGTCTGGGGTGGGGAAGGACCACCAAATGGGCAATGCAAGGAGGGCCCAGGAATAGGGGCGTGACTGGAAGCACAAACCTAGGCAATGATTTTTCCCAGGGGACACAGGGTGTCTTGTCACTGGCTTCAACTAATTTGTTTGAAGAGGAGCTATTTCAAAAATTCTATGTGGGCATCCCTTTCCCCCAAAATGCGATCAGAGGTGGATGACAAGGTTTGCTCTACTGTCAGTTAGATGTACAGAGACAAGCTTCTAGAGTGGGAGAATCAAGAGCAGGACTCTTTATCTGAAAGAGAAGCTCACGTTGGAACTGTAACCTTCACCGGAGCTAATCTTCTCGCCACCTCCCCCTCCCATTTTAGTGCCACCCCCAGAACCATAGCCTCCTCCAGAGCCTCCTCTAGAGCCTCCTCCAGAGCCGTAGCCTCCTCCAGAGCCTCCTCTGGAGCCTCCTCCAGAGCCTCCTCCGGAGCCGTAGCCTCCTCCAGAGCCTCCTCTGGAGCTGCTGCCAGAACCATATCCTCCTCCAGAGCCATAGCGCCCACCGCCGCCACTTTTGGAGCTCGACCCTCTGCCTCCAGAGCCGTAACTGCTGCTTCCAGAGCTGAATCCTCCTCCTCCTCCTCCAGAGCCGGATCCTCTACCTCCAGAGCCAGAGCCTCCGAAGCCGGCCCTGGACGCCACGTTCGAAGAAACAGTGCTGCTTGTCACAGCTGCAGAGAGAAACGGTGTCACCACAGCAACTGCTGACTGCCTCCGCCTCTCTCCACCCGGCACACCACCCGTAGCACAGGCCCACACCCCCACTCACACACAGTCACGTTGCTGCTGAGGTCTCCAGACATCCTGTAAAGGGGAGAGAGAAAAGAACTCAGGGCGGAGCACTCAGGTCCGCACCCATGTTGTTTTGCAAGTGTCCCCTACACACGTGCAGATGGCCTCTGACGTCAGCCACCAGGCCTCAGAGAGCCACTCTCTTCTGTGCGGCCAGATGGCAGAGACGGGACCAGCCGCACGTTCCACACTGCCTGGCATCCCAATCTGTCTAAGCTTTTAGCTCTGATAAAAATGATCGAAAGTCAAATTCACTTTAGACTTTGCACCCATTTTTGTATCTACATCCATCTTAAAGAGTCTGATATTCAAAATCCAAGCCACACCAGAAATTTTGAAATGAGGCTGCACTGTGTGAACATTCCACTTAGATCAGAAAGAACTGCAACCCTGGACAGCCCTCCCGTCCCGCCCTCCTGCCCCACCCTCCTCTGCTCCATCTGAAATCTTTCCCACTGCCTCCTGCAAGCTGGGTTATCAGGCCGCCCCGCACACAGGCTCCGAGCAGCAGCCCAGCCAAGCCGCTCCCTCCGCCACACAGGCTCGCTGGTGGCCCGGGGCAGCTTTTCCTCTCCAGTTGCTTACAGGGGTACGAATAACACTGACAAACTTCCAACCACATTGGTGAGAAAGGCTCCCTTTCAGGGGATTAGCAAATGGCTCTGTTTATCTCTCCAGAAACCTGCAAAGCATTAGATCTGGCGCCCGCTCTGGGTGAGCAAGCCCCAGCCAGTCCACGTGTTCCAACCCACCATCTCCCCGTCCCATGTCACAGTGTGGAGGGAGGAGAGACTGTGCGCCCCGCAGACCCGGAATGCAAGGTTTCATGCTGTCTAGAACTAACCTGTTTTCACAGCATTTTGTTTTCTCTTTCAGAAAATACCACAAATTAACTTATTGCTTAGCTTAATTTAATGTACTCCACCTTGTTAGTCATTCCATATCGATAAATCTACCACTGTATAGTAATGCTTTCTGTCCTGAATCTCCGCTTGGAGGACATCGTGATATCAGCTCTCAGCCATCAGAAGGCCCTGCTCCACCCTGCTTTCCCTGCCTTTGCCTCCACCCCTGGCTCTAAGAGAGAAGGGAGGATGCACCAGGGTCCCTTCTGCCCTCCCAGCGCCTCTCACCTGCACTCCTCGCCCTCCAGCAGCTTGCGGTAGGTGGCGATCTCCACGTCCAGGGCCAGCTTGGTGTTCATCAGCTCCTGGTAGTCACGCAACAGCCGGGCCAGGTCCTCCCGGGCCTGCTGCAGGGCCTCCTCCAGGTCAGTGAGCTTGTTCTTGGCATCTTTAATGGCATGCTCTCCCCTCTGCTCAGCGTCTGCAATGTTGTCTTGCACATTCTTACACTGGGGAGAAGCAGAAAAGATTTCTTTAGAGAATGGAGTCTGCCTGGCAGAGAGGAAGCAAAGGTGTTTAGGGTGTGGGAGCCAGAACCGTGGCCCTGGAAGTGCTGGCTTCCCTGGAGGTAATACAAGCTGCAAACAACTGTGCTAAGACGCCCTGTTGTCTCTGGGCGTCATTTTCCCAAGTCACCTTTGACTGGACCCTTATGAATTTCCCATAAAGACCTTTGATCCTCACAACACAGAGCCAGAATCATTATCCCATTTTATGGTTGCAAATGGAAACATCTGATGTGGACTACATCACAAATCCTGTTGTCTGTGCAATAGATTCTGTGCCCCTCATCATCTCTTCCAAAGTTAATGTCCAGCCCTATGTCAGCTCCCTGCAATGCTCACTGCCCCTCCATCATGCAACCAGCTTTCTCAGGGCTGAGCCGCAGCGGGAAGCTTCCTGCAATCCACGGCAAGTCCAACAACCTCTTGCTTTATTTGTTATTATTCCCTTTCACTAATGTAAGCGGTCCAAAAGTGGACACAGTTCTTTCCCTGCACTACTCCTTGCTTTAGAATGTCTCTCAGGCCACTCTAAACATTGTTATAAGGCTTAAATTATGTTCACATCAAGGCATTGGGGATCAGCATGTGCTAGATTAGAATATCTCAGTTTCTCTCTCTGTCTCACACACACACACACACACACTTGCACACACCTATACACAGCCTCCCACAGCACCCCACACCACCCCAAGCCCCAGTCAACCAGTGGAGCTGCACCAGTGCTCAGGGCCACACCCCACCTGCTTCTTCACGTGGTCAATCTCCCCTTTCAGTCTCTGGATCATGCGGTTCAGCTCGTTGATTTCCATCTTGATCTCTTTCATGCTGTCTCCATGTTTCCCTGCAGTGATCTGAAGCTCCTCATACTGTATGGAAAGAGGAGGACAGTTGCAGCTGGGAAGGGGCTTGGTTTGAGCCAGGAAAAGTCTGATACTGGTCCAGGGAGGGTCAATCAAGCCAAATGGCATGGCTGCATTCATGGGAGGTGGAGACCATCTCACACCCCAGAACTCAGTGCCAATCTCAATTGAGGGCATCTGGAGTACTGTGGACACTTTCTGGGGAACGATGCCTAACTTCCATTAGATAAGAACACCGACAATCTCATTGTACAGTTTCTGGCTGATTGGAAGAAGCTGTGGCTCTCCCTGAGCTCCTAGTACTTGCCTTGCTCTGGTACAGGGCCTCGGCCTCAGCCTTGCTCTTGTAGGCGATCTCCTCATACTGGCTCTGGACCTCGGCGATGATGCTCTCCAGGTCCAGGTTGCGGTTGTTGTCCATGGACAGAACAACATTGGTGTCGGTGATAGTCTGGTGCGTCTGGCTCAGCTCCTGCAACACACAGAAGGTCTGGCCATGGTTTCCCTGCCCAGTGAGCCAGCACCCCCTCCCCAGTGTTCAGGAAATGCACAGAGTCTCAGACTCAGCGTGCACTGCATGGGATTTAAAGTGCTGTAACCACTGTTCCTCGGCTCCTGCCAAGGTTGTCCTGAGAACTGTGGGAGACGGGTCTGTATTTCTGAGCCTCCTGGTTAACAGCCTTCACCATTTATGCCGTTTTGATTAGTGCCCCCAGAAAGAAGCTGCTTGATGGCAAATGCCTTAAATTTTACTTCCTGCTTCAGAAGTCACGTATGTTCACTTGGACAGGGAGCAGAGGGGTATGTCATATTTGACCTCCGAAGTATATTAGACATAGGGATGAGAACAGGACAGATCTCTCCCTAAAGGAGCTGGACGTTGAGGAATGGAGTAAGGGGAAGTTGTCCTCGTGTTTCTTGAGCCCTACTTCCTATGACATCAGAGCAGAAAGTTTCTCTCCTCCGAGACCTACACTGTAGAAGCCCCCTAGTCCTGGAATGATGGCAAGTTGAAGTCAACCAGTCCATAAACCCCACCTATAACACCTTTTCACTAATTAGGAAGGACTGTCTGTCAGTGGGAAGGGTGGAGAGCAGTCTCCTTACCGCATCAAAGAGGACTTTCATGAACTCAAGCTCCTGGTTCAGCACGTCTACCTTGGCCTGCAGCTCCACCTTGGCCATGTAGGTATTGTCCACGTCCTGTAAGAAAGGTAAGGGGCCTCTGGTAAAAGTCATTCCCCCCACTCACTCACTAACCTTTTAGCTTTCTGGGTATGGGTCCTACCCTCTCTCTACACTCCACTCCATCCAGCCCCTGTTAGCTGCTTTCCAATATCCCAGGCACCTCCAGATGAGCCATGTCCCCCTGGGACCTCACTGGGCATGGAGTCTACTATACACCTCTCCTGGGGGCTCCATGCTCATGTTCACTGCTCACGCCCTCAAGATCACTGGAGCTCTGATGGGACCGATCTTTATCAACCGTCCTCTCCCTCTTTCTTGATACACTATGGAACATACGGTCTCTGTGGTTTTAACAATCCTTAACTCCCTCATCCTGTCTGTCCATCCCAATCTCTCTTGAATTCATCTGGGTTTTATACCAAAGCCTCTGTAGGAACCAGGCTGAAAACCTACACTTTTGCCTCCTACCCTTTATCAGTATCTCAGATAACCTCTTTCAGCAAGCTTTCTAAGGGAAGTCCCATTCCTTCCTCAGCTCTTCAGAAGAATTAAGTATTCTCTGGCTCTTTCATGATCCAATCTAGGTTTTAAGTAAATTATTGATGGGAAAGGGTCTAGCAAATGGAAAACGGTCTCCAGAAACAAACTACAGCAACAATTTTGTTTCCAAGGGAACCAGTGATAGGTATGCCTCCCCCGTTCCCCTTGCCACTGCTCAAGGTTGCTCTCCAGCCTGTCTGTCTGAACACAACAGGCTTCTGAGGAAGCCTCGTTCCTACCCCAGCCAGGACACTCTCTTGCTCACCTTTTTAAGTGTCACAAAATCATTCTCAGCAGCTGTGCGCTTGTTGATTTCATCCTCATACCTGTTGGGACCCAAAGGACATAGCCATTAGATTAGTTCTATTTTGTTTACTTTTTTTTTTTTCCTTTTTCTAGTGGATTTACCCAAAATACCCTATTCTCTTGGAATATTAAGCACTCTTTAATTGTCTAAATTGAAACTATGATATCCTAAATGAGTATGTTTTCCTATAAATTAACGCTAAAACATGTAAAAATATGATTTCTAAAGCCCTAAATGTCTTCTTCACACACATACACAAAAAAAAAATTGACAAAGATCTTGCTGCCTCTCCCCTTTATCACCACAAGTGCAACCGGGAGATAGTGGCTTGCCGGGGAAATAATCAGGTGGCTCAGATGACTATTTATCTCCGCTTGGTGTTACTCTGCCACCTACTTCTTCTTATAATCCTCAACGAGGTCCTGCATGTTGCTCAGCTCTGAATCTTGTGATGTCCTTTCTGAAGACAGTGAATCTATATATTTCTTCAGCTGGCCGATGTACGCGTGAAAGATGGGGTCCAGGTTGGTGGAGCGAGTGCTGACATTAATTTGCTGCAGCAACTCCCATTTGGTCTGCAACACCTGGTTCTGCTGCTCCAGGAACCTCACCTGCCATGACCAGAAAGAGAGGACATGAGCTCTGGATTGCCCTGCTTTGGGAACTGGACAAGTCTACACAGCTTCATGCTCCCGAGACGGATGCCGGCTCGTGCCAGAGCGAGCTTATGAGCTCCCTGCCTCCGCACGGGGCAAGTTCTGCAGACTCGTAATACATTCAGCGTTCTTCATGCACAAAACTCTTTCCTCCTACTTCACCGTCTACCACTTTATTTGCAGCTGCTCCCAAGACTCCAGGCCATTTCCCTCCCATTCTCGTTGAATTCCCAGCAAAGGTCCCGTAAATTCTGGGGGAAACCCAAAAGGAGACATCCCCTGGCACTGCGCCTAAGGGTGATGAATGTGAGAGCACAGGAAGGCAGGGCTCCTCCGTCTGGCTTTTAAGAGCCTTGTAAATTCCTTAGGATCAACTGCCTTGAAATAAAAGAAAACCCTGTAACACTCCAAAGTGACACCACTAAAGACTTTATGGGTCACAAAACTGAGAATGTTTCTCTTGAAGGCAGGAATTTCATTCATCCTCAAACAGATATTTCAGATTCAGCTTCCCGGAATTTAACAGTAATAACGTCTAGGGAAGGAAAACGATCTCAGGAGAAATGTCGTACCAACCCTTCCAGAACCTGCTGTCACGTGGCCTGAACATCAGTCCATTACTCGTCTATCTCACTTTTTCTATGATTTTCAGAATTTTTCATAAATATTCTTTATCTAGGCAAAAACAATAAAGCCAGGGGCACAAATAACTCCTAACTGCGGACTGCGATGGAAGAGGTAGCCCACAAAGCCTGCACCCTTCCCATCTGGATATTGCTAATAGCCCGGCTTGTACGGCTACGCTGATGGGATCCTAAGAGTCAGATGGAGCCAGCTTCTCATGACTCACCTTGTCAATGAAGGTAGCAAATTTGTTGTTGAGAGTTTTGATCTGCTCCCGCTCCTGAGATTTCACATTCTGGATCTCAGGGTCAATTTTCACATTGAGAGGTTGCAGGAGGCTCTGGTTGATGGAGACTTCATGGATGCCTCCACCAGGGTATCCTCCAGGCCCGAAGCCACCAGGACCCCCAAAACCTCCAAAGCCACCGCCACCTCCCAAGCGGCCTCCACCAAAGCCGCCTCCTCCAAAACCGCCGCCTCCGAAGCCACTGCCGCCTCCGAAGCCACCTCCGAAGCCACCTCCGAAGCCACCTCCGAAGCCACCTCCTCTGCCACCAAATCCACCACCGGAGCCAAAGCTTCCACCTCCTCTGGCAACACTAATGGAGATGCTCTTGGTCCCTCCGAGGCCAACAAGACTCCGACTGCCAAAGCCGCCTCCACCATAGCCCCCTCCGCCACCGCCATGACGGCTCAAGCAGGAGAAGCTGGCGCCTGATCTCCGGCTCCCACCAGAGACCACAGCTGAGCCACTGCTGAAGCCCCGGAATCCTCCTCCACCTCCTGCTCTTCGAGATTTGCACGTGATCTGACAACTCATGATGCCTTTGCCCAGGAAGGTAAGTTGAAGGTATGAAGGTTCCTGAGAAGAGTTAAGGCTGGAGACACAACTCTGCTATTGAGAGACTATCAGGGTCCCCTTTTATGCTGCTAACTAGGTGTTGGGTGTGCATGGGTGTGGGCCCACTTATGCATGGGTTTGGTCTGCCTGGAAGCTATTCCTGGTGTGTTATTATCAAGTTATGAGCCATTAAAAATCTATAATCAGTCCGGTCCCAGAACTTGCTTTGATTGCAAACTTCTCCCATTTATCTAGGCATCTGTCATGCAATTTGATTTTTGTAAAATCATCAAAAGAGATCAGAATGTGGGTTTCTCAATCTGAAAAGGGACCTTCTGCAGAATGCTGCTCCCTGCCCTGGACCAACCCAAGGAAGGCCAGCTACCACTTGGGCCTGTGCAAGCTCCCAACCCAGTTCAGCTGATAAGGGAGATAATAAGTTTATAGACGGTGGAAGCCCCTCAATACCAGCATTAGAGTTCTCCTTGCTTTTCCCTCTGCCTCAGGAAGAGTTTTAACAAGTGCCTTTGCATGTGATGTGGGAAAATAGGTATCCTCTTACAGAAGGAAGTTGACCAGGACACTGCAAAGAGTTGTCATTCTTCAAACCACACAATAGCCAGGCGTTGATGAAAGACTTTCCTGTATCCAGAAGTTTGTATAACCATCAACTCTGTCATTTTTCTACATGAAAACCTGAAGATGAGGGGCTTAAGGAAAGTTTCTCTTCTGGGTCTATCTCAAGCTGGGCACCCAATAAAAGGTTGCAATCAGAGGCTTTGCACAGCTCCAAGATCCAAGTGGACCTCGATTTAGTCAGTCAGTAGTCATGTTTTGCCGTGATTCTGCTAATCGGTTAGGAAGCCAGGCTCTTCAGTGATACCCGGGGTTGGATAAATATCAGAAGACCCACTGAGTCACCAAGTGCAGAGCACTCACACCTGAACTGTGGCCAAATACATGCAAGAGGCACTAGAATTTAATTTAAAGTTAGAAATTCTGTTTAAGTCCCAGTTTTGCCTTTTACTGTTTCTGTGCCATTGAATTAAACTCAGTCCTATATTCTTAGCTATAAAATGGGAAATTCATCTGGAGTGTTTTGAAAACCATGATGCACAATACAAATGTTAGGTATTGTTATTTTGGGTGAGGCAAGTGCTATGACCATGAACTAAGTGCTATGACCACGAACTCCACACAGTCACCTAGGTCCCAGAACCAGGCTTTCTCAGATCCTAGGACAGAGTTAGCATACAATCATGTCAAAAACATAATCTTCAAGTTTAAGTCCCAGCTTCATTGTATTTTGGTTAAATGATCTTGGATAATTCAAAATCCCCTTTGAGCTTCAGTGTCTCATCTACGAAAAGTGAATGAGAAGAAGAATGTGGCTGTTGTAGAAACAGAACAAGATAATAAACAACGCTAAGCACAGTTGCTAGTTAATAGCAAAAACTCCGTGCGATTTACCTTCTTCACCACCTCCCCCATCTCCAACCCCATGTCTTAACCATGCCGTGAGAGTAGAGAACAGGGAGCTAGTTATTTCAGAGGTTTGATTTACAAGAAGAGAATGCTGAAAGAAGCAAATCCATGTGTCTCCTTTATGTATTTTCCTCATTTGCGCTTATATAATCATAAGTATGCAAATACATCATAAAGCTAAAAGCTTTGGAGAGAGACTCAATCCAAAGTCACATGTGTCATTATCTATAGATATCTGAACTACACCCTAATTGTCCATTACTCCATCATGACTGTGCCGAGGCCATGCCAGCTTCGGGGCGGGGTGGGGGTGTGCAGGGGGTGCTTAGTCCCTCTGTGATAGAAAGGAACGAACATTTATTGAGCATCTGCTGTGCACCAGGCTTGTGCCGCGCACACAGTCTGCACGTTTGAGCGCCTGGAATTCTGCTCCCACACCCGTCTCGCTTTCCAGCGTCTCCGCTGGGCACTTTCCCTTTCTAGACCCATTCGCCAGTTTTTGGAAGTCAAGTTGAAGAGGGAGAGCCCTCCTCTTCTCTTGAAATGAGGGGGGTGGAAGAATGGAATGTGAATATTATATAACGTTTTCGTTTCATGTGTTTTAACTTGACCTTTTCCATACCATCAATGTGCTTGTGTAGATCACATGTTCTGTATTCGGTAAAGGAGGGAAATGGGCGTTCAGACGCTGGTTCCGGCTGTGATTCTGCAGCTGACTTCCACTATGGTCCTCAATTTCTCCATCAGGAAAGTGGGAATATTTATCCTCAACCCCACGGTCCCACGAGGACATTGACCTGCTGGTGTGGTGGCTTTTAGCTCTGCTGTCTCTGAGAGCAGAACAGCGCTCCTGTAGGTCAAAAGCCTTCTTCAAACAGGCGACCAGCAAGCCCAGGTCTCTGGATGCTTTTCTTTATAGGTTTTCAAAAGCACATCCCTTGGCCCTGGCTGGGTAGCTCCCTTGGCCAGAGGAGCAGAAAAGTGAATTCCCAGTTTTAAGCAGGGGGTGGGGGGGATGGAGTGTCACGCCAGCGGGAAATACATGCGGATGCTGACCCCAGATTCTCCAGGTGGGAACTAGTTCCCCTCCCATCTACTCCCTTAGTCGCATGTGTCCTCCCTTGCGGCCTCATCACAGTCCTCCCTGTGTTACAACGAGCTGTGTTCCTGGATTTCTGCCCGTCAGAGCCAAGGGCACATTTATCTTTACCCTAAACTTCTGTTCCTTCAGCACAGAGCAGTCACTCAGGGAATAAGCCTATGATCCAAAAATCATTTCTCGGGGTTGGGGTTTGGAATTACAGCTTTTCCCTGGCATGGGAATGTGATGTGAGCAATGCTTGTGTCATCACAGTCTGCCATGCCCCTGTCCCCTAAGATCTCACCTGGACCTCATCTCAGGTTTCTGCTCCACCTCCCCGCACCCCACATCGGGGCTTCCCTCCACAGGCCAGTGAAATGAGTCTCTCCTTTCCAAAGACGCGAAGCATCAGGGAACGGAGCTGCTGAGCCTCCAGCTATCTGTTTCCACAGCCAGAGAATGGAAAACAAGTGTTTAGATTTCAAATACAAATCAAAACAAACAACAAACCCTTCTCCTCCAGCTCCTGCTGCTGAGTTCAGGCTGCTCAAAGGCTCAACACCCATAACATGTAATAACACTGAGAAAGAAGTGCAGAAAGCAGAGAGGGCTGGCCAGCTGCAGGCTGGAAACAGCTGTCCACAGGCTGGCCTGCAGCAGACACCTGTCGAGGCAGCTGCTCCCGATGCCGACTGCCGCTGAGCCGCTGAGCCGGTGCGTTATCACAACTGCCCCAGCGGCTCCCAGGGAAGGTGGGACCAGAGACTTCCAGGCTCCCAGCAGGAGTCACTTGCTCAATGTCTCCTCAGGGCCATTTCTTTGCCAGTGATGTGTTAAAACTGCTCACTCATCTGTAGTCTCAGGCCCTGACCCAGTTCTCCATCGAAGCCCAGGGCCTCCCTGCCTTTCTTACTTAACATGCCCTTTTTAGTTTTTTTCAATCAACCCCTTTTCTTGCCACCAACCTTGATTCAACTGGGTAAACTGGTTTTAACTGAGAAGCCAGCTGTGGGCAGCCAGGGCCACCCCTTTATGAAGTGCTCCATGTCCCGCGGGCAGAGGTCCACTCTGGAATGCAGACTCCAGGCTCGTCAGGAAAGCAGGAGGTGCCCACGGCTCAGAAACAGGCAGACCCCAGAAACAGAGGAGAAATGAGAGCAGGGGTGCTGCCCAGGGCACAGCAGGGATCCTCACATGTGGGTTGAACTAAGGAAGCAATCAAGCAACCAACAGAGGAAGCTTCCTGCATCGCACCTCGCACATAGTAGGTGCTCAACAAATGTCACTTTCTTTCCCACTGCAGTGTCACTTTCTTTCCCACTGCAGTGATCAAAAAGTCATATGTAGTTTTAATTTTCTAATGGGGGCCCAGCACCTCGCACCCAGGCAATGGGAAGTTACCCATCCTAGCTTGGTTCTGCAAGGGTTCAATCCACGGCTGATGAATTCAGTTCTTGTCGTGGCTACAGACACACACTGGGGCACGTGACTTGTTTGCTGAAATGCTATCTAGCCACCGAAACCACTCTGGCATATGTGCAGGTGTGACTCACCTGTGAATGTCTGCATTCACCCAGAGGGAGCCAAGAGGGGTCTCCCACGAAAAGTTCTTGTGGGTCCCAGCCCCAACCCTCGTTCCAGGCACCCATATTCTTACTCTTGACCGTTCCCATAGAGCCATCCCAACATGGAAAGACAAGTATTCCATCTCGTCCTGGTGATTAATAGTTATACTACTTATGCCTTCCTTGCAGTTCAGAAACTCCTCTGGGTTTTCCCAGACCTAATGCTGCCCTCTTCTTACCCTGCCTCTCACTCTTGGGGGGGTCTTCCTGCTAACCCTACGTAGCATCCACAGCCCTAGTTCACAGCCTCTGGACACCGGCCATTTCTTCAGCAGCGGCCCCATGCCCGGTGCCCACCGGCAGTCCCATCCGCTACTTTCAGACACACTTCTCTTTCCTCCCTCAGCCCCACCGACCCTGCCCCATCACTTAAAGCTGCCCCCCCCCCCATGACCTCTTTCATTGCTATTGAGGCTTCCGTGTTGGGCTTGCTGGGGATAATGGTAGGAAGAGGCAGGCGGAGAAGTCGTCCCCTCACAAACAATGAGAAAGAGAGAGAAAAGCATGAAAACAGATGGAATTTTTAAAGACCAAATAGTTTCTTATTTTAAGAGACTCGTGTTTCTCAGTCTAGCAACAAAGTTCTTCAAGATGCCTTCAGACCTGTGGGTGCCAAAAATACCTTGTTTGGGAAGGAATGGGCAAAAGGCTTGATTCTGGATGACCTGCTTGCTACAGTTTTTTATCCTCCCACCTCCAAACAAAGGAGCAGGAGGAAAAAGAAAACTGTTCAAAACTCTCTGGACAACTTTTTTTTAAAATAGCAAATATCATGGGTCTTCTAAACTCTTCTTTAAAAGTCTTTTC